AGTACACGATTGACTTTCCATGGCTTGCAAGATTCAAAAGCTGCTGATTAGTCAGCGCTTCGCAGCTAAATGTTCAACTTACAAGTCGTATGTCGTTTAACATTTGGTCATCTATTTTTGTGGGGTTTCAAAGAATATATCACACTCAACAAGGTAACAAAGGAGACGCGTGTCGAGGTGACATGAAAGCTCTTCAATTTGACGTTGACAATTTACTGGATATAGCATCTCTCGCTAAAAACAATAGCGCGGACATCTGTCGTACTTTCAAACACTCATTCATGTGGTTGCTGCAAAATTTATGCATATGATGGATCAGCAACTATATAACATGCAATACAGTATAAAAACAGTAGCAATACTATATATTGTTATGGGGTGATACAATTCGTATCAGCCTCTGCGCCTCTGCATTAGGTAAGTACACCCACCCACTTTCTGTTCAGCATGCGCATCTGAGCAGCTGGAGCTGCAACAATTACGCACCCGAACTAGTTAAGCGACTTGTATCTCTAATATGTGGACCAGTGGTACGACTTTTTGACCAAGTACGGCATCAGGTACAGAAAACCTTGAATACGCGCTTGATGATTAAGCTACTAACTCAGAAATGAAAAAGCTAGCTGTTTCGTCTTAGGCGGCACTGTTACCACACCTTCATTTATGTTGGTGCTCATGTTGTCGTCACCCTAATATTACATTTCTTGGCCACTACTGCATAGCAACTGTGAGACGATAAGCATTAGATTTATTTTAAGCAGTCTCAACGTACACTTATCATGTCAATTGTACTCCAACTCGAGTCTCTAGCACCAGATTTGACGGTTTTGAGACGATCCTGGTGGCGTGAGTCACCCAAATAGCTTCCTAATCAATCTTGTGCCGAAAAATCTCTCGTGAGTTATCTACGCATTTTAGCAAATGGCTCGTTCCTACCTCTTGTGCATTTTCAGGCTCAGAACATTTGCGTGTAATACGTTCGCTTTAGTGCATGTCCCGTATCCATTGCAGTTTAGGGGACGAACAATGCTACTTTTACCGATACTACTTGCCCTGCACTCGAATAATCTGCACACATACACGCTACACGTTGTATTGTTAATAACCCCACCAAGTCCACCTTTCCTCCACCCACAAGTCAAGCAACGTGTTAAGATAGCCGCATTATGCACTATGAGATTTTCCCGCTTAAGATTTTGTCAGACATTAACTTAATATTGCCTTGTCCTCTAGAAGACTTCATCTTGCTGAGCGTCGAATCTTTCAAATCGCTTCAAATACTGACATCATTGGATCGCGCCAGCAGTGCTTCTATCTTGACGACTTTATCAGCATTTCTCGCCATGCTAGAACAAGATATCGTTATAATTTCGTTAAATCAAAAGTTGAAATTTCGGCACATGATGTATAATTGAGTGAAAAATTATTCCAAGACATTCCATTAAATATCGTTAATGTACCGTGTCATGTGTTTGTGCTTTATAATTTTTTTTGCGATCGTCTGAGACTACCGGTATGTAATTTACAGCTACCGGTATGAAGGCTGTGTGAAAGTAGCAAAGTGAGTGTGCGATAACTATTTCCTAACTTTAACAAGAAACAGCTTTCACAAAAGGCCGTGCACTCGAATCCTACTTTTTTTCCAGTTGCCGCCAAAATTAAGCTACGATCAGAATGGAATGGGTCGTGACAATGTAGCATTAGCCACTGCAGCTGTTGTATCATAATTGTGTGAGAATTTTGTTTTATTATGAGGGTAGCCAAGGGTACTGTTATCACACGTCCGCTGACTCAGCCGGACTGCACTCTAGCACGTACATCTTGTCTCGTCTTGGTACACTTGCAATCATTTCTGTATCGCTTTTTATTTGACATCTCAAATCTGAGAAGATGACTTCAAGATCTTTCATTGACAGTGCCGAAATCGAAATTAATCTTCGGTCTAGTCCGAAGACCCAGAGTGTCTCCTCGATCCTGATTACGTCTCCTGTCTAAAATTTAACACGCACTGTACCGATACCTTGAGCTTTTACCTTGTTACCGTCTGCGATAGTGATCATAATCGGGTCCTTCAGTGAGTTTATCTCTGTGAACTCATCTTTGTCGGGACACATGTGGCTGCTAGCCCCACTGTCTAATAACCACCCAGCTGGCGTCCGGCTTGACCGTAAATGTCTTTTCTTCTCCTGATCGCTTTTTGTTTCTTGATCAGCCTTGCAGTCCTGTCGCTTTTTACCATTTTTTTTTTTTCTCGGACATCTTCCCTCCCCCCTCCCCCCCCCCCTTTCTTTTCCCATTTTTTTTCCTTCCTCCCCCTTTTTTCTTTTCTTTTTTTTTTTTTTTTTTTTTTTTTTTTTTTTCAACACTATTTTTTTTTTTTTTTTTTCTTTCCCCCCTTCCCCCTTTTCTCCTTTTCCCTTTCCTTTAACCAAACCACTTTTTTTTCTTTTTTTTTTTTTTTTTTTTTTTTTTTTTTTTTTTTTTTTTTTTTTTTTTTTTTTTTTTTTTTTTTTTTTTTTTTTTTTTTTTTTTTTTTTTTTTTTTTTTTTTACTCAAAAAAAAAACAAACCACAACCCTCTTTTTTTTTTTTTTTTTACCCCAAGGAAACATTCTTTCTTGAAATCCTTCTAAAAACTTTTTTTTTTTTTTTTTTTTTTTTTCACTTCTCTTTTTTTTTTTTTTTTTTTTTTTTTTTTTTTTTTTTATTACAACACAAAAAAAAACAACAAAATTATAACACAAAAAAACCCTTAATTTTCCCTCTTTTTTTTTTTTTTTTTTTTTTTTCTTTCTTTTTTTTTTTTTTTTTTTCTTTTTTTTTTTTTAATTAATTTTTTCTTTTCTTTTTTTTCTTTTTTTTTTTTTTTTTTTTTTTTTTTTTTTTTTTTTTTTTTTTTTTTTTTTTTTTTTTTAAAAAAAAAAAAAAAAAAAAACCCAAAAAAAAAAAAAAAAAAAACCAAAAAAAAACAAACCAAAAACATTAAACCTCAAAACCTCATCAACAAAAAAAAAAAAAAAAACAAAAAAAACCCAAAAAACCTATCCAACACAACTCCTTCTCCCCCTCCTTTTATATCCCCCTTCTCCCCCACAAACCCCCTTCTCCCCCCCCTCCCCCCCCCTTCCTACCCTCCCCCCCCAAACCCTCTCCACAAAAAATTTCCTCCACTCCCCTAATACACCCTTACAAAAAATTTTTTCTTTATATTTTTTTTTTTTTTTTTTTTATATAAAAATAAAAAAAAAAAAAAAAAAAAAAAAAAAAAAAAAAAAAAAAAAAAAAAAAAAAAAAAAAATAAAAAAAAAATTTTTATAAAAATTACCCAAACAAAAAAAAAAAAAAAAAAAAAAAAAAAAAAAAAAAAAAAAAAAAAAAAAAAAAAACACAAAAAAAAAAAAAAAAAAAAAAAAAAAAACCCAAAAAAAAAAAAAAAAAAAAAAAACCCCAAAAAACTACACAAAAAAAAAAATTCTACAAAAAAACCCTTTTCCAACCCCCCCCACCCCCCCCCTCCCTCCCCCCCACCCCAACACCCCCCCCCCCCCCCCCCCCCCAGAAATTGTGCGCCATAACTTCAGGTCAAATTTGTTGCAAATCTTACTGCTCACAAAATGACGGTCCAAGGACAGATTGTATTCAAATTCTACTTTAGGGTTGAGGAATGTAATGATTGGATTATCGCTAGTTTATATTGATGAGTAATCGAGTCATACATCCAACATGACCACGGTGTGCAACAATGGACTTGGATCACACCAACCTCTTTAAAAATATGACCATTTATTGGCTAATGGAAGCAATTGGCTAGTTAGTGATAATATAGATAGATATGAGGGAATTGGGATGGGAAGGTAACCAGGACCTCTGCCGATCAAACTTGATCATCTCTATTTGTCTAAATGAAGGGTATATTGGATAGGGAAATGTTTACCGAATTGGTCGAAAATGGGTCATTGCACCGGTGATTTGTTTTTGGCTCATCAAAATATGACATGCTAGTCTTAATCTGCTTCACATAATCTAATTATGATGTCACCATACCAATCTTGATACTTCTGTCCTAACTCTGATTTTTAATCGCATGGACGATGATTGCGCTTGCTGGAAGGCGACGAGCTACGAAGGCCAAGGTAATGGAGGAGACGAAAAGACCAGAGTTATAACATAATTGACTATATGACGTGTCCCTTTTGACGTTGTAACATTCTTGTAGAGCACACAGCACTTTTTTGAGGCGTACACATGCATGCCATGCAACGTTTATTCATGTCTTTTTGCTTTCTATTCAGGAGAACGCCTGCGACAGTCCCTCGATTTTGAAAAAAATATCCGAATATGCCTGTTATTCGGCACACTTTGACGCTGATTGCCTTGAAGTGGGCTGTATCGATGGTATGGTTGATGTCATTGTCGTCGTTGTCGTCGTTGTCGTTGTCATCGTAAGTTTCGCTTTTGCCGACAACGACGTTGTTGACCGCATCATTAGCAAACCGTATCGTACCAAAACGTGCTTCGCGCGCTTAATGACCAGGTCCCTCGAAAGTTTCCATCGAAATTGCATTCAATATGTTGCTAACGTATCCATTACTGCAATAAAAAGGACAGAATAGAGTTTATGGGAAGAATGTGTACGCATGAAACAAGTGCAGCGTGCCTCGCGAGAAGCGTAAGGCGTCAAATGTATGCACTGTACAAATGCCATATCGAATTACGTGTAAGCACTGTGCGCTCACCCCCTTCTGCTTCTTAGCTCATCCACTGCCTGCGAGCAACTGCCATTTCACGAAACGTGATGAACGCCTAAAATTAGGGCAGGTAAATAAAAGTAGGATGATTGCCTCAGAATCTGATCAGGTATACCAAATCGAGATAGACGTTCAATATTTAGATTATCCAACTAAAACATCACTCGTATCGTAACCGCTATCGACTAATGCACATAACCCATCCCTTGTTGAAAAGTCACTGTTTCATACCACAATTGTAATATTTCCAGCAATGCTGAGGCTTCTGCTGCTGCCAGCGCTCTTGGCCCCGCCAACTGCAGCGTCAATCGGCCATATCTTGCACCTCTCTGACGTTCACCTGAACATCTCTAAATCTGGATCTTCATCGTCAGAGGACGCTCCCATCCGCTACTTCGCCGACGCGCCCTTGACGCTCTTGGAGTCTGCGCTCCGTTATGCCAAAGAGCACGTCGTGGCCAGCCCTGAGCTGTTCCTCTATACGGGGGACCACGCGGTCCATGGGTCACTAACTGACGAGTTTATCGCCAAAGTCGTGGCGACAAATGTGCACACAATGGAGAGTTATTACCCGCCCAAGCGTGGGATGATGATGGACGTTACTGCCATTGTTGGCAATGCGGACGGGAGTAAGCTTAGTCACTTCTTTGTATGGTGTCAGAGTATTGTTTAATCGCTTTTAACGCTGATGAAACTTTTGTGACGATTTTGATGACGTAGATCCGGACTATCACATGGAGGTGACGAACCCAAAGACGGAGACAAACCCGTCCATTGAGCTCATTTCGGAAGTATGGAAGGACTCGCTCTCGGCTGTAAACATGGATATGCTGAATCGAGGTGGATATCTGAAATATGCACTGGATGATAAGCTGCACATGATCACGCTGAATACTGTGCCATACTCGGTAGAGATTATCGAAAAGCTGGAGGGTAAGCAAGCTAGTACGTTGACTGATGATGTCTGTGTGCTGCTGACTTGTAGCCAAGTCATGTGCCGGATACATCAAACCAGCCGGATCCATTTGGGCAGTTTGCGTGGCTGGACAAGACGCTTGCAGAACTTCAGGATGCTGGCAAGGTGGCGTACATTGCTGGCCACATTGCCCCAATCGTGGACTCATATGGAGGTGATCCCCAGTGGCACACGAAGTACATTGTCAAGTACAAGAGTATCGTTGGCAAGTATGCCGATGTAATCAAAGCGCAGTTCTTTGGCCACGTGCATAGTCTCGAGTTCCGTGTGCCCGTGATGTCGCTCGACGGGGCTGGCGCTGAGAGCAATACCTTCCAGCTGCTGCCGATGTTCATGTCGGGCTCAATTTCGCCACTTTTTGGCAACAATCCGTCGTTCATGGTATGGGAATACGATACCGATACGTACGAGGTGCGTGACTACGCCGTGTATGCGTCCGATATCAGGAACAGCAAACCTCAGCTAAAGTGGAAGCTGCTGTTCAAGGCGAGCGATGCGTACGGTCTGAAATCACTATCTCTGAAGGAGCTTTCGGCCTTTGTGCGGCGTGCCGAGCAAAATGTGAGTTTGGTGGACGACTATTACTGGAACATGAAGGCGCGTTCACCTAACGCTGGTGCTTGCAAAGACACAGTCTGTCATGCGAAGACGTTGTGCTCGCTCAAGTGGTGGACTACTAAAGGCGAGTATCTGGCCTGTTTCGACACTATTCGATTGACGATGGCTGGTCACGTCATTGACTACGATAACACGAAGATGTTGGGAGCGGCTGCCGTCATTGCGGAAGCTCCATTGAACGACTTAGAGATGAATGGGGTACTAGTGACGATTGGCGCGACAGCTCTAGCGACCGCCGTTGCAGTGGTTTGTGTTGCATTGACCGTCTACACGCTGAGACGTAGTGGAATTCTCAAGTACTCCACAGCATACGAATCTGTGACAACGTCCTAGACGACGAGCTCGACTGTGGCTTCTTCTTTCCATCCATCAAATTAGGAAGAAGTAGAAAATGAAACAAACTGTTTCCAGCGATCACTCCGTATAAGCTCGATCGATCCCGACGCTAACGCTTGATTACACCCTCTTTACCTCGCGCTCAGCACTGCACCTACAGGAGTCTGAGGTGTCCCGAGATCTCGTCAATAGCTTTCAGCGGCGCTGGGCCAATACTAAGCACCGTCTTCGTCTCCGGCGCAATCTGCGTCCGACCAGCATCAACCTGCCACACACAAACACACAGAAAGATATCCAAAACAGCAAGACACCAACCCTCAGTGCCTCCATCACTCTCTCTCACTCTTCTTCCATCCCAACCGTACCACGACATAGTTGACAAGGCCGTGCTCAGCCGCTTTCTCAGCGAGAGCAAGCATGTCCTCCTCCGAGTCCACCTTGAGACAGACCTTGGCTTGACCCAGCATTTCCCAGGCACGAACAGCGTCCGGTGTCCGTTTTAGCGCGCGTTTGTACGCACCTAGCGTCGCGTGGCAGCACTGGGCAGCAACTTTGCCTACTCAAATATCGTCAGCTCAGCTGGATGGATGGATGGGTACATTCACTATACACGAAGACCTGCACATTGAAAAAGAGTGACCAATTTTGTACCCACCTTTGCCCATTTTCAAGTCCGTCCGCACACACATCACCATTTTGTGCGGGATCCAATCCGCTGGATCTTCGACTTCCCAGTCGTCAGAAGAGCTCGCAGACGATTGCGACGACGCTCCAGAAGCAGATTTTGAGGCTTCTTCGGTTGAGCTTTTGCTACTGCTGCTGCTACCGGTAGGAGAGGAAGAGCCGTCACTTAGCAAGTGCGACGAGATGAAGTAGTGCGTGGCAACACCGAGGAAAAACGCCGTCGTGCATTTCCAAGCAATGTCTTCCATTGTGGTAAATGGTAACAATTCCCTGACTGATCGACTGGTAAAATAGGGTTCGACACAAAATATCATCGCAGATCGTATTGTTTGTCCAATATAACTTCTGTAACATCGTTCAAACGATGACGATACCCATACAACGACGATAAAATCGTTTAAAAGATGACAGTGCCTATAAAGTGGAGGTTGGTGTCTCAGCAGCTGGATTCTATGACTGCTGTTACCTGGTGTGTTTTTCGAGGTGGTGCAAATACTCAAAAGCGTGTCTATCGATGCTTAAGTGCGTGTTCTTGTGGATCAAATATCCTCGGCGAATAAGCCAGACCTCTCTACATATGCTAAACTTCGGGACGAGACCTCTGCACTCAAGACACCGTCTTGCTAGACAAAACGTCTTTGTCCTTATTACCGATACTTACGGCCTGATACGGCGCTACTCCTTAGGTGTCGTGCAGTTAAAACTCTAGCAGTTTTGTCAGAAGCACCTACACTTTGTCTGCCTTGCCCTCTGCTCGTGGTTGAGACGATCGCTACGTAGCTTCCTCGACATGCACAGGCTTGCTCGTGTCCAGCTCGTTGAAGCGACGCAGATCCATGGGCTTGTCCAAGAGCGGCATGACGTACGGGTCAAAAGTCTTCCAGTACGGGTTGCCCAGATGGTACTTTTGACTGCTCTCGTGCTCGTACCTCTCGACAATGCACCACTTGCGCGGGTCCTCGTGGTCTTGCATGACGTGCCAGCCGACGGTCTCAGTGTCTTTTGAGTACACTTGCGAGGCCTCAATGAGCTTGTTGCGCAGCTTCTCTTCGACTTCCTTGCCCTCCTTGGCGTATAGGTGGACGACGATGGTGTAGACCATTGAGACGATCGCAACCAAGAAGGATTTTACGTACTTGCTAGAGAAAAACACAAGTGAGATGCAACTCAGGCAGAGGATCCCCTGGCCCTTTTTCGTCTTGTATACTGCTGCTTAGTCGAGCAGATGCCAGGATGTGTCGCATGGAATCAGGAAGTGCTGCGATCCTGTAATTATTCTTATGGTATCCCGCGTTTCTACCGATACTTTCCAGGCACAAATTCAGATTGTGAACTCTAACAGTCGGCCACCGCTGCAATTCCTGTTCATCCTACAGAAGGATGAATGGGGAATTTGAAAGGGAGCTTTAAAACAGTCGATCAGGCTTTCTTCTTTCGTTGCTATCGAGGTAGTATCGAGATTTATGCTACAGACTCGCGTTGTGGTCGATTACAGAAGAAACCCTCTGCGCGCTGTGTTACTTTGTGAAAGGCTTCCTTTATTGACATGGTAGGTATCACCGCACGACTGACTGACCCATCTGCGGGACCTCCAACTGCGCTCATCATGTCCCATACAGCTAGACCTAGGCCAAATTAGGCTTAGTTCGCATCCAAACATGATAACGATGTCAATGGCAAAGCCACTTGGGGCGGCTCGCGTAATGGTGTCGACAATGTAGGAGCTGGACGCTCGTCGAATTAAAGAAGCATTTGAACAGCGCTCAGCGCGCCCAACTGTAACGAAAGGGCACAATTGTTGATTGTAAAGACAGTTCATCGCCGAGAATTCAGAACTAAACCAAGTTAGGGCGCCGACAAAACACGTTTCTACGAGATAGTCCCGGCAACAGGAGAGCCTACTTCGCCTTTGCTGACTGTTCGCGAGCTTACCGTTCTCAAACGCGTAAAACAATGGCAGTACAGAGCACCACATCGTTGGCATTCGCGAGCTCTAGATTCTACCACACACATGCTTCTTCCACCGATGGTGCCGATGTCCATTAGTGATTTATTCTCAATTTGTTAAAAGCGTAAACGTCATCGACAACGTATGCTTGCCATGCAGCTCCTCTTTTAGTGCCTATGATGTCGTACAAAGCGCTCGCTGCCGGAAGAATCAATTTATTGTAAATGAACTTACTCTATTAAACACAGGCTGCAACACGACAGGATTGAAGCTGGAAACTGCCATAAACCAACGCGCTACTTCAAGTCAATGACATCTTGCTAATCGGCGGCAAGAACGGCTTATGCTTTTGTACGACTATAATGCTAAAACTATGCTACTACAGGTCTCTGCCTGCGATAAAGGATCCTGTGCCATCTTTACGCATCGCTATTGCTTTTTAAGTATGTCTGTCTGTGACAAGCTTCTGCTGCACTCGACTTATATGAACTCGGTTGTGTACGACTTGGTAATGAGCTTATGGCCAGCTTGGTCCCTCACATGCGTATGGCCATACACTGGTATTTGTACAGGCTGCATGCTGTGGGAATATCTTTCTTGGTACCAAAAGCAAGATTTACGCAAAGATCAGGACGAAGCATCAGATGCACGTTTTGCATGTGATCGTCAACACACCCACAATTGTGCTTGCCCCGTACCAACTTTTCCACCAGCAATGGATACAGATATCGCTTTCACAATTCTGGCGAGCTTGTTGAGTGATGGAAGAATGGCAAAAACGCTGATCACTGTGGCCATAGTAAGCCATTTTCGGATGGCCATTGGTGATACGAGGATGGTCTATTTGTCTTCCTGCTTTGTGCATTCGCCAGGAACGCGTACCTCACTAACCTCCGAGCGCTGACCGTATAATGAAACGCATACTGTACATCCAGACAAAATGATCTCAAGACATCTCTGAGTAGATTACATCTGAAGATGATTGTGCCTTTAAAGTTACCACATGTGCTACTACTTTATTGATGTTTGTGGTAGCTGTCGTCAGAACATGGCCCTTCGTTGCTGAGTGGTGCCGCTGGATATATACCTGCCGACTGTCATCGCTGTAGACAAAATGTCAATATGCTGGCAGCTTAACAAGTCTTATCGTCAGCGGGCTTTCCTATCAAAATTGTTGGACTCGCATGCATGTGACGAGCTTATCCGCGGAAAGACCGTGTACTTCATTAACTGAAGTGGCCTGCGTAGGGCAGCAGTACCCCAAATGGGTGAGGGCGAAAACACTTTAGGTGCGAGTACAATGGTATCTGTCATGGACCGTCTTAAATTTTACATGTAGTCGTTGTTGTTGAAGGTAAGGTATATTGATGAACGTTATCGACCAACAACACCCCCGCCAGAGTTTTGACTATTTGGTGTTGCCAGCTATGATGGGGATGAGCACTACCACGCGAAGAGCAGATCTCCTGGCCATCAGTTTTTGTGCTGTCGACGCCCGCTCGCGGGTAGTCTACATGGTGCGATCATTCGAACTACTGTCGAGTCCGACTGGTGTCTCGAGCGGGTGGTTGACGTCGTTCTGGATGTAATTTGTAATGGCCGAAACGATGTTTCTGTCGGTTAGTGCGTAAACCCGGGTATGATGAGACCAGCTGGCGACTGTGACATCGTCAGCAAGTGTTCGCGCTGTTCGGCATAGTGCGGCGAGGTACGGCTTGCGAGGTGAGCGATACCCTCAAAGATGATTAATCACCATTACACTATCCTCGATAACATTCAACGGCAGAAATTCGCTGTGTTTCGCCTGCCGTAGTCCATAAAGAGACCATTGCATTCGGCCGAATTGCTCGTTGCCGTCTTTGCTCCAAGTGAGATACTAGCCATCCAGACTATTAGCGGCGTGTGTCTGTGGTTGTACACGTACAATAACGGTCCCTAAGCTTCATGGGGGTGTTCTAGGGAGCCACCATCGAAGAATAGCAGAAAAAGATTTGTTGCAGAGGTCATTAGAGCTTGTAGCAGCAGGATTGGGGTCTCAGTATGTTGCAAAAGCTCGTTTGCCAATGCTGAGCGCACTCTCGCCAGCACGTGTTCCCATTCTCCTCCTCCAGGTTGGTAGGTAGAATTTTAAAAAAAAATAAGAGTAGGCTATGCAACCTAAATTGGGCTACCGCATGATTGATCTACACTGACATTTTTGGGGGGTGGTGAGGCATATTGAAGTACGATCGCCGACCTAAAAAATTCGTTCGACAGCAACCTAATGGCTACGTCGCTTTAATGTAAGGGTCTATCCCGAGTTCCGCCGTGTAGGGCAGAGGCGTGCTGTTCAGGAGACCAGGTAGGAGGCGCACGACGTGCAAGCGGCGCAGGTGACCCTAACTGAATCTCTAATTCTGCTGGTAGCGACATTTCGCACCAGTGGATAATATCGTGGTCCATGCTCGCTCGAACAGAGCAAGCGAAAGGCCCAGTCTGGAGAGTGCGTATCCCTAAGGCTTCCACATTTGCAGCCGTAGCAGTAGCTGAACCGGCAGCCATAAGGTTGTACTCGCGGAAGTGGTGGCTCCAGCTAACCTCAGAAAGAGCATCTGCGATCTCCCGAGACCCCGGCAGAGAGTTGAGAGCCTGGGCCGGACTGGTGGCCGACGCACTCGAAGCTGGTTTATAATCGCTTCGTTGTCCCCGACGACATACAACGGTACGTAGGCTCGGACCTTATCTTCCCGGAGGCCATTACGAGCCCGTGATATGAAGTCACGGCTTCTGTCGTGCTCGCGGACTTGAGAGTCAGACTGGCTACCCAACTGATCGCTGCCGCGTGTGTATCTATGTTTGTTTTGACAATCACCGACCCGGCTCCGCCTGGCCCTGGATTACCTCTAGATGCTCCCGATAATAATAGCAGATAAAGGAGGTCCTGGCCCGCGTCTGCTGACAGATTCCGGAATGGAGCTGGAGTAAGGTGGCGAAGCAGAGCATCCGCTAAAGCGGATCGTACACTTGTTCTTATCTGGCCCCCCCCCGTCACGACACCTGGCTGGTATGTCGAACCTCGGAAACAAGTCAGGGAACGCCTCAAGCTATTCCAGCCAGCCATCAAATGCTGAGCTGTCGATACGCTCGGGTCCGCCATACGACGTAGCTGTTCGGTCCATATAGTGTGCATAGTCGTCGCGACCACGAATCTCCACTGTTCTGTCGCACCTGCAAATAATTCCTCTCGATTATCGATGTTATCCTTAGTCGGCGAAAGAGATTCTCTAGCCGCCTCCCACGCATTGCTCGGGCATTCCGGCA